GAGGAGAGGAGAGGAGAGGAGAGGAGAGGAGAGGAGAGGAGAGGAGGGAAGCTTCACTCTGCCCTACATCATTCCTAGAATTCCCTGCCCCATCGCTGAGGAACAGCTCATCCATCCCGAACTCACCCCTTTTAAGGCCCATCTAATGGAAATTCACTCATTTTCAGCCTCAGATCTCTGGTAGCCTAGGAGCCCTGAAGAGTAGCAGAAGAAAGAGAAATAAACTAAGAGCCCATGGACCTACCCTTTCTATAACCATGGTGGCTCCCTCTTCTCTTTTATAAGGAAGATGAGTGTCCATGAAATATTCCTTTAAAGAAATATTTCTACCACAGATCATCAGGGAGAAAACAAAAACAGATTAGGGTTCAAACTTCTCACCATTCCCAGGAAAGGTGGACTGGACTCCTGATTCTCAAATAATTATACAAAATTACAACCACCCTGCTGTGTTTCTGAATACTCGAGCTTGACCTATACTGTCTATATTTTTGTGCCCATTACCTGGTTTAAGGAAGTCTGATACTCCTAACAGCAAAAGGAGATACTAGCCTAATTTATTCATTACTTGTATGCATGTATCATGTTACTATGTTACTCCATAAAAATGGACAATTTTGTGTCAATTTAAAATTTTGAAACATGGAAAGGCATCCCACCCCCCCACCCCCACCCCCAACTTGCTCAGAAAGATTGTTCTCCTTTCTCGGTATTCTGTACTGTCTTACTGGCCCTTTTGTTAAGTAGAAACTTGACGCTTCCCTGTCCCCCAAGAGTATATAACTAATAATCCTACTTAATGGCTTCAAATCTACTTACATATAATTTGCCCTGCACAGTTCCGTGTCACTGGTGGCCGGCCTAATGCTCACCCAAGTGCAGGGCATTCAAGCATCAATAATGTCCCATCGTGTCACAGGATCAATTACAACGAATCCTTTTAAAAGCCTTTCCTTGTAAGGCAGCCTTCTTTGAGATTTATGATTAAAATTGAATATATAAAGTAAGAAGATTTTTTTTAATATGACTTTGGGATTTCTCTGATAATTTCAGCAAGAAAAACATTTTCTCAGTAAAAGAATAAGGAAATGTATTTTTGCCAAGTGAGCATCATTTATCTTTTTTATTTATCTTTCTTCTCTCTCAAGCATCTCTCATTTGGTGTCCATGGGTATACTGTGGTGTCAGAGTGTGATCATAAATAATAAGATACCAAACATTGCACTCACCAGTGTTGGATATGTTACCATGGCACAGCATTACTTACTGGACAGGTCCTAGAAATAACACTCAGCGGCTCACTGAGCAGCCTGCACATTTTGGGTGTGGTAAAGACAGGGTGAGCCTTCCCCTCACCTATCCAAACCCCATGGGTGCAGGGCATCCCCTGGAGGAGGAAGGTCAGCTCTGTTCTTAAGCACAAGACAACCCCACTTCTCTCTGTCCTGCTGGCCTGGTGTGTTCACACGTCAGTGTCCGTGTGTCCTGGTGTGTTCACACGTCAGTGTCACAGGACAACCCCACTTCTCTCTGTCCTGCTGGCCTGGTGTGTTCACACATCGGTGTCCAGGGAAATTTCCACTGACATCAGTTCTTCCCTTCTTTCTCTCCCCCAAGAGAAATCTTACAAGAGATCCAGAGACTCCGGCTAGAACATGAGCAAGCGTCTCAGCCTACGCCGGAGAAGGCTCAGCAGAACCCAACCTTGCTGGCAGAACTCCGGCTGCTCAGGTAAGAGAAGGACCCAGATTTCCCCAGGGAACGTAATGTTAGGGACCGGTTTCCTTTTGTAAATGGGTCTTGTGGTGAGGTCTGTGTGCATGCATATACGTACACATGTGCACGGGTGCATATGTGTGGGGTTGAGGTTAGGTGTCAGGAGTCTTTCCATCACACTCTGCCCTATATATGGAAGAAGTGTTCCTCACTCAATCAAAGCTCACTGATGGGGCTAGTGTGTCCAGCCAGTTTTCTCCCAGCGTCCCCTGCCTCTGCCTGCATAGTACTGAGATTACCATGGGGCAGCATGCCCACCCGACACTTATATAAGGGCTGAGAGTATGGCACCTGGCTCTCCTGCGTGTGTGACAAGAGCTTTACATGCCAAGCCGTGGCCCTAGCCCAAGGGTTTAGTACCGTCTGGCAGCAGCTGGCCAGCACACAGTCCGGAACCAGCCTAGCTGCTGATCTTTCTTGTTCAATAAAACACACGGGATCAGCCGGGCGGTGGTGGCGCACGCCTTTAATCCCAGCACTCGGGAGGCAGAGGCAGGCGGATCTTTGTGAGTTCGAGGCCAGCCTGGGCTACCAAGTGAGTTCCAGGAAAGGCGCAAAGCTACACAGAGAACCCCTGTCTCGAAAAACCAAAAAAAAAAAAAAAAAAAAAACACACGGGATCACTGAGATCTGGACAATTTTGAGAGATTATACTTTTTTTTCCTAGACAGAAAGAAAAGGACAAAGTGTTCCTAAGATCAAAGGCAAAATATCTTCACTGGAATAAAAAAGTTTCACTTGGCTGTTTTTAGTCATTTGCACAATCAAAATGTGTGCACGTTAAAACTAAACATATAAGCAGCTAAATAAACATCGCAGACTTCTAAATTAAAAAATTTAAAATATAGCCCACAGACAGAACCTGATTTTCTCTAAATCATGTCTTCCAAAGAGCCATGCTTTGTGGTGCACATCTGGAATCTGAGCCAATATCGACCCTGAGACAGGAGGACCAGGAATTCAAGACTAGCCTGGTAGTAACATAATAGGACCTTGTCTCAATTGTTTTTCAGAATAACATAATTAGTTCAGTGGTAGAACTCTTACACAGCACATTTGAGGGCTGGAGTCTGGTCCCCAGCGTCTATTTTAAAATAGATGCTATGCCTCTGTGTCCATCCATGGATGGGAAAGCCTAGCCTTGTCTACCCTGTGTCCATCCATGGACGGGAAAGCCTAGCCTTGTCTACTCTGTGTCCATCCATGGATGGGAAAGCCTAGCCTTGTCTACTCTGTGTCCATCC